GATACGCAATAGTTAACCATTCAAAAGTTACAGAGGCAAATCCACTGCCACCTGGGACCTCTTCCCAGAAGGCAGAACTTATTGCCATTACAAGGGCTCTTACACTAGCAAAAGGCAAGATTATAAATATATACACTGACTCAAAGTATACATTTAGCATTTTACACTCTCATGCCTCTATCTGGCAAGAATGGGGTTTTATTACCACTCAGGGAACCCCCATCATTAATGCTCCCCTTATCCTTAAACTTCTAGAGGCAGCCCAACTTCCAAAGCAGGCAGCAGTTATTCATTGCAGAGGACACCAAAACTCTACAGATCCTATTGCTCAAAGCAATGCCTTTGCAGATTCACAAGCCAAGCTAGCTGCACAAGGGCCCTGCCCTTCTCATCTTCTCCCGTTAGTCCCAAACAGTCTACCTCAGCCTAATTACTCACCAGAGCAGTTACAGCTACTTCATAAACCAGGTTACACACAAAATACTCAGGGATGGATTTTTCAGGGATCTAAACTTGTTCTCCCACATCAACAGGCCTTAGACATCATTGCTGACCTACACAACTGTTTTCATATAGGATCACAGGCCCTATACAAACTCTTAAGCCCAATAGTCACACACCCTTCTCTAAAAACTATCATTCTTAAGATTACTCACACCTGTGATCTCTGTGCCAGGACCTCTCCTCAGGGATGCATGGCACCCCCTTCCTTTCCTACCCATCAGTTTTGAGGACACACCCCTGGTCAGGACTGGCAGATAGATTTTACACACGTGCCCCACCACAACACTCTCAAATATCTTCTCACCTTTGTTTGTACTTTTTCAGGATGGATAGAAGCCTTTCCCACAACCAGGGAAACTGCTGATGTAGTTACCAAAGTCATATCACAAGAAATCATTCCAAGGTTTGGTCTACCTCAGAGTATTCAGTCAGATAATGGTCCCGCCTTTATTTCTCAGATCACTCAACAGGTATCCTCAAGCTTACACATTACCTGTGCCTACACATCCCATACCATCCACAATCCTCAGGAAAAGTAGAAAAGGCAAATGGCCTCATAAAGACACACCTTACAAAACTCACTTTAGAACTACACCAACCTTGGCCTCAACTTTTGCCCTTAGCCTTAGCCAAGCTTAGGGCACTTCCCCGGGCTCCTACTTTCTTAAGTCCTTTTGAAATTATGTACGGCAGGCCATTCTTACTCCACAATCTTCCTGTTCCCCAAAATCTCCCTCCCCTGGCTGACTATGTCCCAGTCCTCTCCTTCCTCCGGCACCTGTTGCGACAAAATGCTGATCTCTGCCTTCCACAACCCTCTGGAGAAAACAAACCAGATCCTCCCATATCCCCAGGAGATCTAATTTATCTTAAATGTTCTAAATCCACAGGACTACCACCAAGGTGGAGTGGCCCCCATCTGGTCTACTTGGCTACCCCTACAGCAGTCAAAGTTGCTGGACTCCCATCCTGGTTTCACACCACTCAGGCTAAGAGGTACCCTCCCAGTCCTAAATCTGATCGTTCTGAGTGGTCATCTCATCTTCTGTCGCCTACCCTTCTCTGTCTCACAAAGGCCTCACAGCCACAGTTACAGGCTAAGTCATGTTTTGTTTTGTTTTGTTTTTTGTTTTTGTCTTTTTCCTTTTCATTGGTACCAGGGATTGAACTCACGACTACCTGCTTGCAAGGCAGGCGCTTATGCCGCTGAGCTAAATCCCCAGTCCCTAAGTCATGTTTTGTTATCCACTTTGGTTCCTAATTTCTTACATTCTATTAATGATCATTTTTACAGCAGAACTCTTGACAGTCTTTCCTAAAGACTCCCACATCATGCGTAAGATAATCTTCATAATGTTCTATATGATAACAGTCGCAGTTCTTTCTACCCTCAGCTGTCTGGTTAAACGTGACATCCCTGAAAGCCTAAGCCCTTACCTTCCCTATACTGGTACAGCCACCTTCCCTGCTCCCCCTATTTTTTCCAGTTCAACTCCTGGACCGGAGACAAGTTTTATACACCTACCCTCTTAACTTTTATGCTTTCAGGTCGGGGAGTAATCACCACTCATAACATCATTTCCCCTAACCCCACGTTTAATTTTCAGAATTCTGCCTTACGGTGGAACATGTCTAAATCAAAGGCACCTTTCCCTCTATCTCATCTGGGTCCTTAAATATGACAGTGCCATGCCTCCTCATAATATCTTGTCTCTTTGTTTTTCCAGTCTAACATACGTGCATTCACCAGTGAAGTTGTCCTGGCCAAAACACCTGGCACCAGCGTCTACCTGGGCATCAACCTTCATCCCGTTAACTCCCCTAGGCTCCAGTACAGTGCCCCCTGCCAGCAGGAAGTAGTTAAAGAGAGAAATCTTCACTCCTTTTCATAATAATAATCCTAAAACAGGATATGAAAGGGTTTTGGCCCAGACAGGACTCTGTAGCCAGGAAAGCCTCAGCCAGATACAGGAAACCCCTATCTCCCCCACCCCTAGGAATTTACCTGTGACGCCATCTTCCCGCCCTGGAAATTTACATATGGCGCCAAACCTAGGACCAATGGGCTACCTGTGCATCCCTAATGCCCGCCTTAGGTTCCACCCCAAACCGAGGCTACTTACATACCCCCACGCCACGTGTCCACCAGAGAGATCGCTGGTCACCAGCGGTGGGAGGTGCTGGTCATCTCTCTCCGTGTTTTCAGAATAAAGGCCGCTTTTTATTTTATACTTCCCATCTTTTGGAAATATTTTTCATCTTTTGGAAATAATTCTATCACTGGGCAGGATGACAGATATTGGGGTTTGTTTTTGTCTTGCTCTGTAGTCCAGGCTGGTCTCGAACTCCCTATGTAGCTTAGGCTGGCCTTGAACTCACAGCAAGGAATGCAGATAGGTTGCTGTCGAGAATATAAAATGGTACTATTCTAGGAAACAATTTAATCATTTCTTATAAAACTAAACACACAGTTAACCGAAGCCCAGCAACCACACTCTAGTACCACGAAAATGCGAACTTCTGTTCCTGTAGAAGCCGATATCCATAGCGTGTTACTCACTGCAGCTGAGGACTGCAACCAACCTACGTGCCCAACAGCACTCAATGCTGCTCTGCAGAAATAGCCCCGCAGCTCTTATTAATTAATACTTGCAATAATTTAGATGGACCTGAGGGAGTGGTTTATATTGAGAAAATAAAGGAATCAGAAAACATCATATACTGATGGTTCTGTACATTTAACATTCTTGAAATAAAACTACGCAGAAAGAAAAGATTTAATAAATAAACAGAGCTGGGGGGAGCTCAGTGGTAGAGCACGTGCACAGGAATGAAGCCCTGGGTTCAGTCCCTGCAGAGATGACAGACAGGAGGCACATATCCAGGTAGACAGCTGCTGCGCGGCTGAGTATAATAACTATCATTACCTGGGTCCCCTTTACCTGTGCTAAGTACTAAGTTCTTTACATGAATCACCACCTTCTACCTTCCCCAAGCCCTATAAGGTAGGTATCATTTCTGCCCATTTATAGATGAGGAATAAGCGAGGCACAGAGACATTCAGTAAACCGCCCGAGGCCACCCAGGAAGAAAGGCACAGGGCTCAGCCCCGCCTGGCGCAAAGCTGGCAGCTTGGCCCCTGGTCTCCACCACCTCAGAGCTGGATCCCTTCCGGGTCTGCATTCTTCCTAGATTTGCTTCTAAAATATCGGGAACCCGGCCAAGAGTTCCGATTGTCAATCTTAAAACTGTCGCGAGAAAAAGAAAAAACAGAGACAAATACAGTATTGGAAGGACGGCTGGGAAGTCAGGATCTCCGGGTCCGATTTCCTCACCCGCAAAGCAGCTACCCTTCATCCCCTGGATCCTGTGATAGGTGGGGCTAGTAAAGCATCCCAATTCTTCCCCAAACTCAAACTCAAGAAGAGGGCAGAATCCTACCCTTAGAAGTGTCCTGACCTTGAGTATAACCCTGAGATGACTCAGGAAGGCGTGGACGATTTTAAGGTTTAGGAGAGTCAACGGGAAATCCCAGGCCAGTGGTGCCAATAATCCCGATCCTCCCTTTGATCCCACAGGGAAATATGCAAAACCAGTCACTGTGAATTTGTGGTCCCCGACACTGAGATCCGTGCGCTTCTGGTTAGTGAAAGTATTCTTTTGTCACCAGTGCTGTGCTCCTGCATGTGTCTCCTAGGGCAGTAGCCTTTCGACCTGTCGGCTCGCTCCCCTTTGCGCAGGGCGGGACCGCTTTCCACCAGGCGGGGGCGCTCTGGTGCACCCCAAGGGCGCGCGCCAGGCTCCTCCTGTTGGGGAGTCCGGACCTCCGCCGAGAGCTCAAGCACCTGAGGCCGAGGGCAGTGGGAGGACAGATTCTTCGGGAAGATTATTCGGAGGACACAGCGCGCTAGTTCCTCCGGGCTTTTCGCCCTAAATGCATTTAAGTGGAAAGCTGTGGGTGCGGCGCTCCACGTTTTCTTGCGCCACGCCGCCACCTCAGAGCGGGTGACTTTGCAGCGAGAAACTGGGGACGCAACTGGGATCCGGAGCAAGACTTTCTGGCACCTGTAGCTGTCTCTTCCCCGAGTAACCCATCCCCACCTCTGAGCCTGTGCCCCGCGGGACCCGGTCTTCTGCAGACCTGGGACATCTGTCGACGTGGGGTGAGGATAAAGGCGAACAAGCAAGCATAAAGCAGCAAACCCCCCTGCGCCCCCCAAAAGCAAGCAGCTCAGGGTTTGCGTATCTCTTGAAGCCCTCTGTTGGTGCACCTGAGTGTGGCGAAGCACAATCTAACGCCGAAACTTGGGAGGCTGAAGCAAGAGGATCTCTGCGAGTAGGAGGCCAGCCTGAACTACTTAGTGAGTGCTCAGAAGCCACTATAGAAGTGTCGCAAGGAGCGGAAGGCGGGAAGTCCCTCCTGCCGGCGCTGCCCTTGCCAAGTGGGGTCCGCCCCCGCCCCCTCGGGGCTCCGCCTCCACCCAGTCCCCACCAACCTTGGGCCTCACTGAGTTTCTCTTTCACTTTGGGATCCTGAGGTCCTGCACCAGGGCCCAGCTGCTACCGCAGGTCCCCAGGGCGCCCACGCCAGCAACGCAGAGGAGGAGACGGGGTCTGAGCAGCAGGCAGCTGACCCGCGCTGGCCCGTCCACTTGGGGCAGGGGCAGCGGGAGCAGGTCGGGGCCTCCAGAGCGGGGCCCTGTCTGTGCTCAGAAAATGGAGCGCTCGGACTGGAGTGGAAGAGACTCGCTGGAGGAGGTCTGCCCACGGGGCTGCCGATGGACCGCGCACTACAGGTACCGGCGCCGCCGCCCGCCCGCGCGCCCGCCCTGCGCGCCCTTCCCGGTTCCGCCCTCCCCGCCGCCTGTGGCCGCGCGCTGGCGGGGCCGCCCCTGCTGGCCCCGGCCCTGGACTCCGTCATCCCGGGCTGCAGCGGGAGCCCGAGCGGACCGTGGGCGCTCGGTGCCCACCCGCGATCCCGCGCTGGCCCGCAGCTGGCGCGGAGGGCGGCCCTCTGGGGTGTCCCCGCGGGGATGGGGACGGCGCGCGGCCAGGGTCCGCGCAGCCGAGCCTCGGCACCCGCGCTTCGCCCGCAGACCCGGGGCCACTCGGGGGCCGCAGCAGGGAGGAGACCTCAGAACGCTTGGGCGGAGAGCGAGTAGCTTCACATTAGGAAAGCCTTGTGGGACTCCAGGTCCTGCTTGGATTGCTCATGACTTTGTTCCCCACGAGGCTGACCCACAAGACACAGAGATAGTTGTGCATGTGGGAGCCAGGGGCCGCTTCTGCACCGGGAGCCGGGAGCCGGGGGCTCACCCTGCTTTTATTCACCCAGCTCCGGGGCGAGCAGCCAGGGTAGTAGCCCATACTCATCCGTCTCCGTAGTACGTGCTCAGGTAAACAAGCAGCGCCAGCCGTGTTGCCTCTCTGTTGTCTGGTCTCCTCCAGAGACTTGCTTCGGGAAAGCAGATTCCTGGGTGACACGCGGGACTGCGGCCCGGAGCCTCACATGCAGAGTCGGACAAGGAAGCTGTTTTTTCTCCGAATCAGCTTTATTCCTCCCTCTCATTCTCCATGGACTAATACTAGAAAGGCCGAGCTGCTACGCGGCGGGAAGTGTATATTTTTTGTTCAAGATACAGAGCCACTTAAAGGCTCAAAGGAGTTAATTAGGTCCCGTGGTCTTCCTTTGCCATAAGATCTTTTCCACATTCCTTGCACAAGGGCCCCACCGCGGGACCAGCTGGGCCGGAAGAGGGGTGGGTTGGCCAAGGTGGCGGACCCAGCCCCATCCTCTGCCTGCTGTGTGACCGTGCTCCCCATCTATTAACCTGACGTGATGCCCTGTGTTCCGACCCCAGTTGTTCGCTGTGTATGAACTGATAGCGTGGCTTGTACTCTTTTTTCTAACATAAAATTTCATCACCAAGCAGTAGGAGAATAACAACAGTGAATACACTGCATCTTGTCATCTTTTGTTAGAGCACAAGATGTGCTTATTAAAAAGTTTTGACTTTTTTTTTTTTTTTTTTGCCTTTTTCATTTTTTTATCGGTACAGGGGATCGAACTCACGGCTGCCTGCTTGCAAGGCAGGTGCTTATGCCACTGAGCTAAATCCCCAGCCCCAAAGTTTTAACTTTTGAACAACTGTACCCTGCTGAGGACCCACTTGACATAGTACAGAGCCAGCAATAATTAATATTAATAAATGAGTACAACTAGTACTACACGACTTGTGGCGAGAGTTAACTTTTAAGCCAATGGCTTGAGCTGAGACTAACACATGTCCTCTGAAGTCCTGAGGCCTTAAAGGGCAGCTGAGAACTTCACTGGTGCAGATTTCCTGGCTCTCTCAGTGGTTGTGGTTAACCATGACCCGATCCTGTGTGCTTTTCCAAAAATGTATTGTTCCTCGATTCTTGAACCTTGACCATATGAACAGTTCACCCCCACCACTTCCTGCAGCCCACCAGTGCACCCCTCAAACATTCTGTGTACCTCATCAATGCCAAGGACACCTCTTTTGGGGCTTTGACTCTCTGGTGACCCTTGTATAGGTGCATCTTTTTTTTTTTTTAAATCAGTACAGACTACCTGCTTGCAATGCAGGTGTTTATGCCGCTAAGCTAAATCCCCAGCCCCTGTATATGTGTATCTTGATGTGTATTATTCTGTTATAGCAGGAGATGACGTGCTAGGCCAGGCCCTGATAGTAGCCTGCATAGGTAGAAAGACAGGAATCCATGAAGTGAAAGGTTACGAGTTGTTCTTTGGGGGCGCAGCGTTTTTGTGTCTTTGACTTTTTCTCCTGGCTTGGGAATGACTGGGCAGCAAAACAGGGAGGCAGGGCGTCCAATTGGAAGGGTGCCCTCTGGCCCTTGTCCTCTCTGCCCCTCGGCTGTCTTCTCTCTCACCTGGAGAGGTTGAAGGGCCTGGAGGGTTATGGGAGGTGTTGGTCCCAGGGCTCTGGGGACCTGTGTTTAGTGGACAGTGGTTTGGAGTGCTGCAGGACCAGCTCTGCAGTTTCCGCTTTCTCACCTGTGCCCACAGAGAACCGATGGACTGTCTATATCAAAGTACATTCTACTTCCACTTTGAAAACCTGCCCAATGCTGATGGTCGACACAAGACCTTCCTGTGCTTTGAAGTAAAGAATAGAAACGAAGTCCTTCACAAGGGGTTCTTTCTAAACCAGGTACCCTCCAGTCTCTTCTCTGGGACGGGCAGAAGCTAGGCCAGGTGAGAATGTAAAACCAATGATCAGTAAAAGCCGCGTGGCGGAGTCCTCCGACCTGCTGTCCGGCCTGACTGTCCCAACTCTGAATGACACCCTGTGACTTCTCACAAGAGGCCTCATTTGAGAGGTGTTGTTCCACTCTACCAGCGCTTACTCCCGAGGTCGGGGCACCCCGATGGTCAGGCACCCTGGGCACGCTTATCTGTCCTGTGACTGCTGGGGTGCTCAGTTCTGTCCTGCCACAACCCTGAGCCTCCGCGGCCCCCATCTGCTGTCTTACAGCACAGGGCCCCACCTCCCTCTGCCCCAGCTGCTCTACCCTCACGGGACTCCCAGGTGGCCAGCACCTGCAGGCCCAGGACCACCTCCACCTGCCACCTGCAAATGTGTCGCCACACACCTGCCCCTCTGTCTCCCAGACCTTGGCTTTTCCAGTGCTTTGGGCCTGGGACCTCTGGGTGGACAGGCTCCACCCACCCTAGAACAGAGCTATCCCAGATCAAAGTTGGAACCCATTTCTCTGGTGCCCACAGTTTAAATAGTCACTAGATACGAATGGAATTCATTTGAATGACGGAGTCCAGGATACCTGCCATACTGTCTTCCTGTGCCCCACAGGGCGTGAGTGCTGTCTCGAGTCAGACAAGTCTGATTTCACCTGTGTGTGGGACAGCAGAGCTGTGTCCCTTCCTGGGGGAGCAGGGGGAAGACATGAGCGGAGCCGGGGCTCAGAGTACTTGCTGCCCAGGAGGGGTGCTGAGTGGATGTGGGAGTCCACGTGTGTGGGAGGGGCGACCCCTACGGCCAGGACAGGGAGGGCTGGAGAGGAGGGAGTCCGGGAATGAGATGCTGGTCCCCCACCCTGTGCCTCGTCCCCTCCCTGTGCTGCGTGCTCCTCCAACCAGGGGTCCCCCTTCTCCTCCTCCTCTCCCAGCCCAGCCCCTTCAGACTCCACGCAGAGCTCCGCTTCCTGTCTTGGTTGCACGACACCTGTCTGTGCCCTTATGAGTACTACCAGGTCACCTGGTACATGTCCTGGAGCCCCTGCGTGGAATGTGCAGAAGAGTTGACAACATTCCTGGCTGGTCACCGCAACGTAACCCTGACTATCTATGTCGCCCGCCTGTACTACCACCAGTTCCCCGTGTATAAGAACAGGCTTCAAGCACTGATTAAGAAAGGGGCCACTGTGAAAGTCATGTTTTTTCGAGGTGAGAAATGGGGGCTTGAAGGCTTCAGGGGGTGCAGGGGACTGGGATCAGTGCCCATCCTGTGAGGGACAGGGAGGGGATGGTGAGCAGGGGTGGGGTGGATGGCCAAGGGGGCTCTAATGTCGTCTTCTTCTTTAACAGATTTTTTATACTGCTGGAGACGTTTTGTGTACAACGACTTCAAGCGCTTCTACGACTGGCCCAATCTCCATAAAAATTCCCTCCACTACTATAAGACCCTGCAGCATATTCTCGAGTGAGGAGACCCCATCAGCTTTCTCCTGGGGCGCCCGACGTCCTCTGTCTTACCCGCTGAGGTTGGAGGCTGCTCCGAGCCCCTCTCTCCTGCCTTCCCTTTGCTCCCACTTCCCCTCAGCATTCTCCATCCTCATCTAACTCGCATCTCCCTAAGGAGAATCAGGCGTCTCCAGCTGCAAGGCAAGCTCACCCGTCCTGTGATCACACAAGACTATTATGCATGTATTTCTAACACCACCCTCAGCCCTGGCCTCCACCGGACCTGAATCTTGTTCTTACACTGAACATAAATGTGTAAGCAGGAAGATTTGAGGAACAGCCCTCAAGGCAGAAATGCGTTCTCCTGTGCTCTCATACTTTGCAATTAAAGCCTTAGCCTGTAGATCCTCTTGGTGCTTTGGTTTTAATTTCCGTTGACACTAAAGCAAGGACCCGTGCTACCCGGTGACAATATGAGAAACGTCCCTCCAGGCAGACTTGAGCTCTCAGGGAACTCCCTGGTGCAGTCACTGTGAGGTCCCAAGGCCATCCAATGACAATGCCACCGTCCAGGCACAGAGACCCCAGGGCAGCTCCCACATGGGATGGAACCATGCCGGTCATGACTGAGGGGCTGGCGGCATTGTTTCTGCTGTGGTTCCTGTCCCTGGCTTTAATGTCCACTTCTCAACGTGCCCCTACATGGTCTTTCCCCACCACACATGTATCCCCAGTGTCCCTGTGTCCTGTGTCCCTCTGACAAAGCCACCAGGAGCACTGCATCAGGCCACACCCTAGGGCCTCCCTCCCAGCATCATCGCCCCTGCAGAGGGCGCGCGTCCAGATACAGTGCACACGACTTCCGGGGTCGGGGCCTCGGTATCTGGACTCAGGCCCACGGCAAGGACCCAGGTCCTAATTGGACTGCCTGTGGGTGGGGATCACAAGGCTCCTGTCCTTTCTGTGTGCCTGTCTCCAAAGGGGTTCCTGACCCGACACCGCCTCCACGCAGCTCTTGCTGCACCCTGAAACTCTCCCCCTGGTTCACCTGTCACCACTCCCACCCTGTGCTGTCCCCCAGCCCTTCCCAGATAGGAGCCTCTGGGGGCTGCAGGTGACACAGGAAGTGAGCGGGGTGTCCGGAGCCAGGAGCAAGCCATGAGCTGAAAGTATTTGGGAGGAAGCCCAGGGGAGGGTCCAGCATGGTGGCCAGGGACACTTGGCCCTGCTGTCCCATTGTCACTGGATAGAGTCTGAGGAGGCCACCCAAACAGAAAGGGGGCCCTAGCTCGACTGACCTCACCCATGGGGAAGGCTCATTGACTTTCATCACACAAAAAGAATTTTCAAGACACATCTGTGAGAGGCAATAGAGGATTATCAGGCAGAATTTCAACAGGGCGTTGACCCTGCCTCGATAATGATCAGAGCCCCACTCCAAATGATCTACTGGAGACTCGAGGAGGTTGGGTTGCTTGATTTTTATGAGACGAGGTCTCACTACATAACTCAGGCCAGCCTCAAACTCATGACCATCTGCCTATCTCAGCCTCCCGACCGCTGGGATTCCTGGCCTGAGCCACCACATCTGGCTAGAAGATTGGGATTTGTTTTTTGAAGAATCATCATCCTCTGATCGTTAGGCTGTTTTCAAAAAATCAGGACACCGGCAAGCACAGTGGCACTGCACTGAGCTGTGAATGCAGGTCTCGGAGATGTTGTCATTTAGATTTGTCTCCAAGCTGTGATATTTTGGGAATGGTACAGGTGAGCATCAGCTGGACTTGGATCTGGAGACGCATGGAAGAGGAATTCCGCAGGTGTGCCAAACTGTGGAACGCAGTGCAGCCAGAGTGTAGTCCCCGTGTGGCAGCAGCTTAAAGTGTCACAGGTGCACTTGGAGACTGCCAGCGACAGCTGGTGCAGGGTTGGGAGCAGCTTTCAAGATCCAGGTTAGCTCTCTTTTTATATTACTAGTAGTCATTTTATTTTTCGTCTTACCTTTTCTGCTAGGAGTTTAAGACCAAGCCAAGGCCTGGGAATGTATCTCCGTAGTAAAGCGCTTGCCAACATGCCCAAGGCCAAGTTTACATCCCAGCACTGGGGGAGGGGAGGTTCAAAATAAAACCCGTGTTAATCAAAGTGAATGTGTTTGTCGGGTTCTTTATGGGGCTGTGTCAGGTGGTTCTTATGCCTCTAATTTTTTCTCTCCAGTTGTGTTGTCTTCTGGAATAATCACCGTGTCCCTTCACCTTGTGGCTTTCCTTAGAGACACAGGGACATTCTCCTCTTTAGTAGCTCTCTGTTTTGTAGAATGCACATGAGTGGACCCCTATCCTCTGGGCTCCACAAGTCCCCCAGCTTGGGAAGTTGAGTGACTCCTCAGAATAGCAGGGTCCTCTTAGAGGGGTCCTGTCATTTCCAGAGTCCTGGCTGACTGTACGGGGCAAAGGTCAAAATATGGGCTGTGCTTTACCCCTTCTGGTCTTAAACTTTGGTCTGGAGCCTGCCTCATCGGACACCCAGGCCAAATGAGTTAAGAACAAGGTCACCAGAAAGCTGCTTTCTGTAAAGGGGGAAACACCCCGTGGTGAAACAGCAGAAGACCCTAATACTGCCAACAAAAGATTAACTGCATTTCCAAGAAAACCCCAAGAATCCTACTAAAACTATGGGCTCATTGCAAAGCTGATTCTCGGTCTTCAGGGCTGCTTCGTGTACATGGTGACCAGCTCTCCAGTGAAGCTACGGCAAAAAGGCTTCCCCACACAGAGGCCACCATCCTGCCTTAAAAGGGACACCTTTTGAGGCTTTCAAAAGACAAGAAAGTGAGCATAACAGAAGCAGTTATTAAAGACCACCAATTCATCTGTGTGTCTGCACCGAGGGGCTCGTTCTTACCATGTAACTGCATGGTTAAGGGAAAGACCCTCATAGGCAGTAAGGAGTTGATCTTGGCTGCTGCTGCTGAATTTGTCATGATGTTGTAGGAGAAGCTGCAATTCAAAGGCGATGCATGTACCGCTTTTTGCTGGTGCCAGAATACAATGAATTGATCTGCGGCACCGCTGTAGAGCCCATTAACCAGCCACCACCTATAAAATCCGGGTTGATAAGTGTACTGAGGTTCATGGCAAGGCAGCAGTGCCTACTGTTCTGTGATTGATTTCTCGGGAGGCCACGCATGAGGACACAACATGTGCACTTTTAACTGCCTGCCAACGGCATGGCTGCAGAAGTACTGAGTTTCTGAGTGATTACATGGTGAGAACCCTGGGCTGGTTATTTTGGGCTGGCATATGCACCTGTGAACAGGCTGGCGTAACTGGGTGGCTTCCTGTGGTCGAAACTGGCTTATGAGAAATAGTGTTCGGGGGAACGAGTCAGACACATGGCTTGAATTTTGCATGGCTTCTCTTATATGAGAAACTCAAGAATATGCATACGTGTCCATAGAGAGCAAGATGGAGGAGGAGGAAGGGAGAAGTTGAAATCATTCCCCAAGTTCCCTGTTGCACTGTTTTATAATTATTTTAAGACACGTACTGATTGGTTTCACGGACACTACTAGTTTCTCCTAGTTCATTGGAAAGGTAGTTTTGTGCTATTATCTGTTTGTTTCTTTCCGGTAAGACAGAATCTTTTTTGTCTCTGCTTTCTACTCTGAGTAACATTGTGACCATCCTTTTAGGAAACTTTGTTTTATTTTGTCATAAAAGAAGAGCTTTTAAATATTATCTTTATGAATATTTACATCTGTGGTGTCGCCTAAGGAGTCTGGCCCCCTCATAGTCTGTGATAACATCAGCCCCGGCATGAGTGAAGAACCAGAAATTTAAAGGTTAAAAACAAGATGCTGTTTCTCAGCTAGAAACAGCACTGGGCCTCGTGACTCAGTCCTAACTCAGCCCTGCAGAAATAAAAACAACCTCTGTGGCTGTGATATGCTAGGGCTGTGCTGTGCCAGGGAACTCAGAGATAGAGCCTGCCATTACGCTAATCAGGGTTGTAAAATATGTCAGACTCGAGCCTACAGAAACCAGGTGTCTTAAAGACAAGTTGTGCAGAACAAAGACAGTTAATTAACTCTGACCCGCTGGTCACCCCTTATGAACTGACCAATAGCAGATAGATAAGATGCCCACCGCTCCGCACTAACTGTAATGATTGGCTTCTGTAATAAAGGCTTACATTGCAGTTTTTCCCCCTTAAAAACACCAGCCTTGCCCCAACTCAGGGTTCTCCGTTTCCACCTGTTTGGAGGACCCCGTGTACACGGAATAATAAAAACCCCTTTGTTCTTACATGAGAGCCAGGCTCTTGGAGTCTCCTTCGCGACACCGGTCTTACATGAGAACAGAGACTGGGTAGGAAAGCCTGCCCAAGAGGAGAAAAGGTTCTCCCCTCTTTTCTCATGATGTGTGACTAGGCTGTGTTTACAGAGCTAGTAGGAAGTGGCCGACCTTCAGGTGACTAGAAAAAACAAACATAATTAAAAACATTCTTGGGCTAATGGAGTTCCTCCTGGGTTATGACGAGTCTCCGGGAGCCAATTTGGAGACTGCGCACCTCACAGCTAAAAGTCAGGACTTTTTATCTTGTAAATCCACAAACAGCTGCTGGTCACACAATGTAAGGAGAGGGATGGGGGTGTGACTCACTACAAAGCAGAAACGGCAATTGCAAGTCTCCCTGCATACTAGCAAGTTTAGATAAGAAGAAATCTTGTTTTCCTTAGCAAAGAATAGAGAGGTCTAACAGCAATTAACAACCTTAGTTACCTTACTTTAGCCTGTGATACAAACGAAGCTATTTTTGTGAAGAATGTACAATCTAATACAATCTAATGCAATTAACACAATTTGTGACGGGCTACCGGGTAGGGAAGAGGAGCTATTAACTCAGGCCTTTGTTTTATGGCCTTTAGGAAGTTAACACTTAACCTAGTTAAATTTGAAGGGAGAAGGGGAGGGGAAGCAGCAGGTGGGCTTATACCTTAGAACAGACCTTAGGATAGTTAGGGGGGCTTAGGTTATAACGTTCCCCTCTGATGTTGTGACTGAGGTCAAATCTTTGACCTAAAGATCTCAGGGGACAAGTTTATACACTTGTTTAACCATCATTAATTTTATGCTCTGCATCTAACGCCTGATATATGCAGTTAGCCTATGTACTATGCAGAGACCTAAAGTACTAACAGTAGAATCATAACAAGAGGACCGGCTACAGTCGTTATTATGTTTGTCATCCATGATGGGAAGGAGAACATTTGTTCTGCCCATCCCAGAGTCTTTTTGGAATTAGGCTAAATTTTGTTTTACCGCCCCAGACCTATTAGCATACAGGCAGCATTGCTCTCCTAAAGCCAAGCACAGTCCTCCTTTTTCGGCTAACAGGAGGTCT